ACCCCAGAAGGATTTAGCTCGTTTTTGTCCCCCCATAAGCGGGTCGGGGTTTGGGAATTGAGGGGACGTGTCGCCCTCTTGCAGATCGTTAGGCTCAGCAGAGTCGTCATTGTCTGGGGGGTGCAAAGTCTGTGTGGCTGCCGACTCCCAATTTCGGGGGGGCCCACAAACAGTTCTTTGCCGCCCTCCTTTGCCTGTTCTTGTATGGCCTTCTGCAGGGCCTGTATGACTTTCCCCCACGACTTAAGGTTTTTCCCACAACCCGAGGACATCATCTCCTCGGCTAACGCTTTAGTACATCTATCCCACACTTCAGGGTGGAGAACATCCACCGGCTGGTCAATGACCCCAATTTGCAGAAGCCTCACAACTGCGAGAGTAAAATCTTTGGGTTTACAAGCGATACCCCACTGCTTATGTAATTGTGATATGACCTTCACAAGGGCTTCCATCCTCCTTGTTGGTCCGGGAGCGTCCTCCCCGCCGGGCTGGTCCTGCCGCTCTGGCCGCCGTTCACCCGATTCCAGGCGAGTTTCCCGGGTTTCGGCACCACTTGTTGCCTTTAGAGGCGTGACGACCTGGTTCAGGAACGGCACGGCGACCCTCCCCAGGTCGCTCGGGCCATCAGCTCACAGACACCAATGTGGTGGACGGCAAATGGCGTTTATTGGTGAACGACACGGCATTATACAGCTTGGGTTTGTAACGTCTCTTCCATCTGCTTAAATCATAAACTCAACGCTATTGGCTATCAGGAGAGGGGCCCTATGTTTCCGTACAGTGCGATATCTTCCGGCCGCCAGACCCTAACTACCTACAGGAAACCACGGGTGGCAGAGAGCAGGTCAAACAGCTAAAACTTGAGTGTTTCAGTCCTACCTCTTGCTTAGGTCTAAGTAAAACCAGGTCACTTTAGGATTAACTTGTGTTGGTAGAAATACTTAGCAGGGATGTACTGAAACCGATTTAAACTTTTAGTGATACCTAAGCAGAGTCACTCTCATGTAATGCAAACGTGGAAGTGCTGGCAGTCGCACGACGCACTGCCTGAGCCTTACTTCTCAGCTGGGACAGGCTGTGAGCGTGCCCTGTACGGCAGAGCGGCTGGCGTGGTCGTTTGTTGAGCTGCAGGATCCCAGCTGCCTGCTTGGTCTCCTAGGCTAAGCTGGTGCAAGTGAAGCAAGCTCCTACCAGTGTCTAAACTGAGGGTTAGTCCCAGCACAGATTGTAAATCTGTTTTAGCTTAACTGAGATGGTCTGTCTCAAACAGGCTGTGTTTTAGTTTCTTGCGTTGCAGCTTACCTTCTGAACTTTTGGCATAATGCTGAAGAGCTGCTGATTTCTTCTATAGCCAAATTTTCAAGATACATTTTTCAATGGAATTAAATTTTTCTGTGAACTTGTTGCTTATAAATGCTGCTGATTGACTCATACAAACGAGATCCCTCTGGTTAACGTGCAGTTGGTGCTGCCTGATCATAGGGGAGACACCTCCATTGCGTGTGTGCTCTTATGTTGCCTGGAGGGACCCTGTTCCCAAGCAGCAGACGAATTTCATCTGTGTTGCTTGTGCTCCTTGGCTGGAGTGAAGGAGTTGCAGTTAGTAAGCCACGTGTTACAAGGGATTACCTGTTTCAAAATCAAATGTGCCTTTAATCACAAGACAATCAATTATTTTGAATTCAGAAGTAATTCCAACTTCTACTGAAAGTCTTGCTTTTACTTCGTGTGCTTTTTAATGTTTTCTTAGGCAGCGTCTCCTGAAAGTGAAGACATCATTGCTTCTGCTCAGTGCATCTTGGACAGAGAAACTTCTTTTGTGGGGGTAAGAAGTGGTGTCACATCTCTCACTTGCTGTGTGCTTTCCTGCATGTCAGTGGTTTTTTCTCTCCATCAGTGATTCATGAGACGTCAGTTGTCTGTACTCTTGAAAAACTAAATGTAGAATTACAAGTTTCTGGCCTCCTCTGTCTCCTTGGGATAGGACAGAAATGGTGACCCTAAATATGAGCTTGAGAATCGTGTGTCTTTGGTGACTTACCTGCCTGTCTGCATCTCACTTTTGCTCCGTGGGGGTGATGGTGGGCCTGTGAGTGAAAAGTGGGAGGGCTGCTCTCACCTAGCAGCTTGCCAGTGCTGCAGGGTTCTTCTGCTGCCTGTCTTGCACAGTCTGGTGCTTGCCAGACCCCTGCTCTGAAGTAATTTCAGCTCCCTAAGCTAGTGGGAGAAAGTGAATCGTTTTCTGTCCGTCTAGTACTGCAGCTTAAGTAATTAGAGTCTGAATGCTGGAGCTTGTGGAAGGGAGAGGAGAACGGGGCCTTTGCAGCAGTGGCCGGTCAGATCAGGTCAGCCAAGCTGCACAGCTTCGCCTGTGGAACCTTTAATGGGGTTGGCAGATACGTTGTACAGTTTTTATTTTCTATTTCTTACTTAGGAGGTAGACAGATATTTGAAGCACAATGATTTATTAAATCGGAGAAAGAAGGAGATCCTGCACAAGAAATGGCTCAAGAATGTTTCAGAGCCACTGCTGTGGAAAATCAAGGACAAAATGGACAGCCAGTCAAGCGAAGAAATACGGAAAAGGAAAGAAGAACAACTCTCTCTCTATTTAAACTACTGTAACAAGAAGGTATCAACGAGGAGTAAATTTCTGTCGCGGCGAGGGTTGCATACTGGGGGCTGTGGGCAAAATTAAGGTTTTACTTGTTATTTGCTGATCAGTTGAGTAACCTGGAGTTCAGATATGCCTTCCCTGAAACTTCCTCTTCCCAAGGACTTCTGCAGCGGTGACATGTGTCATTCCAGCTGCTTGTTCACTACCAGACACGAACAATAGCATCGGTCGGCGCAGTGAGCACTTGCTGGCGTCTGAATGTGGTGAGACACCAACACTGTGGTGTGTTACCTTTGTGTGGCCTGGGTCGTTTAGAGGAAAAACCTTGAGCTCTGTCAGCTGAAACCAAAGGCTGACTCTGCGACTGCACTCTCATGTCTCAGGAGTTCAGCTAGAGCGGTACTGTGACATATTGGCAGAGCACGAGTGAAATGATTTCGTGGCCTCGGATGCTGCTGCTGAATCTTTACAAAAGAAAAAAAGGTGGGAACACCAACTATTTTCTTCAGTCCGCATGCAGGTAAATAGACCCAACTCATGGATTCTGTAGTTCTCTGTGTTTCAGTACTCATAAAAATTGCAGTCACTGTAGGAAATACTTGTTAGTTTCCTTGATTTTGCTCTGAATTTCGCACCACTGTTGAGTATCAGATCTTATGACTCAACTTTCTGCATCTCAGGAATGAATATATAGAGCAATAAGAGCAGTTACATCATCTGCCACAAATAGAATAGCATTGTGTATAGAGCAGGCTTTTGTTGTCAGTGGAAACCACTGCACAGTGGCGTTCTGAGACTGTAAACAAGCCTCCCATCCAGAAATGAAAATGTCATGGGGGCTGTGTTGTTTTAACGAGAGCAAATGGTCTGTTCTTCCAAGGTCTGATGTGAAAGACCCCTGCAAGTAACAACAGAGCTGAACCAGTCCTGCTGCTGAAGTCCTGGGATTTAGGACAAGTTGGGGGTGTACTGTACTTCTCTGGGTCTGCATCAGTCCATCTTGCAAAACTCCTGTGTCAGGTCAGGACTTTGCTGGATGTCCCCCAAAAGCAATGGCTGATGTGCAGGGATGTGTCCTTCTCCCTGAACAAGCACAGCACCAGTGATCAGCCTCCACCTTTTTTCCTTCCTCGGTGTTGTTGGCTCTATCATTGGCATATCTGAAAAACAGGCTGAAACCCTTCAGAATATCAGGACAATTAATTTGCGTAAGTTTGCATTAATTGTGGCAGGTTATGATAAATTTTGCAGAACTTAAGACACTTCTGTGGATTGGTTAATAAACTGACTTCTAGCTGGGCTTTCCCCCCCTTCTCTTCTTTGTGTCCAGTTTTTCATGCTCTCTTCCCTGTTATTAGGCTTGTCCTGTTACCCAGATCTCCTCACCTTTCTGTGCCTTTATCACTGGTCCATTCCCCCTTTCCATATTTGTTCTTCTTCCTCCAATCTCTCCTCTCACTCTCTTTCTCACTCCAGTCAAACCTGTTATTCCATCCCCAAGTCTCCCACTGTTTCTTCTGTCAGACTCCCAGGTGCTTCATACCTCTTAATGGTGCTCCTGTTGATTCCAGGTCCCTTGCTTACCAAAGCTGTCTTCTCCTGTCTTCCATTCTCTTCCTACCCTCTATTCCTGTCTCTCCTCCCTGTCCTTCCAGGTTCCTCCATCTCAGTCTTTCTGTCGGCTCACTTTTCTGCCTCTATTTTCATGCCATCTGAGCCTTCGTCCTTCGCCTCCCTTCCTTGACTCTCCATTGTACAACTGACCTGCTCCCATCTGGTTTTTTGCCTTAAATCTGCCTCCTCTTCCCCCCATTCTCACCCTTTCCTGACTCCAGGAGGTCCCAGGGACATGGACTGCAGATGCATAATGAGATAGTTGGTCATAGTGTGAAGATGACAGCAGCGCTGCTTTTCTTCTAGCACCAGCAGATGTGCCACACTGCAGCCTGCAAGGAGGGGGACGTTTCCTTGGCCTGGATTGCTGCTGTGTTAGCCACAACTCAGCTTCTTGTAGTCCAGGATATTGTAGGCATTGTGTGCTGAAATGCTGCAGAGTAAGAGACCCTACCGACTAATTTTTAAGAGCAGGCTGAGTGATAATACATCAACTGCACGAAGGGATCAGGCATGAGTGTTCTGCACAGCACCCAGCGCAATCAACTGGAGTCTCAGCACATATTGTAGTGGGGTGATACGTAATATTTAACCAAGGGGTGGCACTAAAACTCTGCAAATTGAGGCATGGTAGAGCTTAAAGTGTTCCAGGGACAGAAATGGGAGAGGATTAGTGCGGCTGCTGCTCAGTCTCAGGGGAACTGCCACATCCTGGGGAGCAGAGGCCCCTGCAGAGGCAGCAATGTTCATGCTCAGCAGTAGTCAAAGGCCCATGGAGCTGCTCAGGTGCTTGCTGAGTGTCTGGGGACAGCACAGGCCCTTGGGGCATGGCTCACTCGCCCATGTGAGCACCTTCAACACAATGACCTCTTCAACCCCACTTTTTTTTTTGGTTTGGACTTGTCTTGCAGCACTCCTGAACTGTTCAGGTTTAAGTGTGGTTTTTCCAGCTCTCAACTTGAAATCATATCCACAAGTTGCCAAAAAGAACTGTGTGGAGCTGAGATCTGGAAGGCCATGGGCCAGAATCATCTGCACAAGCAAGCTGAAAGACTTCCATTTCCAAGGTTTTGGAAGAATGACTGAGAGTATGAGGGAGAAGTATTTTATATGCTTGCCCTGGTCTTACTATTCTTAGGGAATCACTTGTGTCCTGACTTATTGGCTGTAAACAGTGCATTATAACTTGGAGACAATTGTTTATAATTCACCTTTCTCTGCATCAGGCTTGATCAGTGTGTCAATCTTGGTCTGTTCAGCTTCTTGATGGCCCGTTTGATCTGCTGTTCTTTGGTCTTGGCATCAACAGTGAATGCCACACAGTGGTACTTGCTGTTCTGCAGCTAACTCTGGTCCTAGGGAACTTGAACTGCAGAATATGAAGTTTCTGGCAGGCAGAGTTCTTGATGAGATGGAGCTGTGGTCTGGACCGTCAGGTGTGGTTCAGGTCATTACTCCTACATATAGACAGAAGAGCATGCTCATAGCCTGGACTCGGAGCTCACATCTTGCAGACTAGTGACCCGCCTAGGGCTATGGCTGGGGCGGGCTCAGTCACTTGTTTCTTTTTTTCTTTTATTTTCAGATACCTGTTTCATTCTCTGACAAAACATTTTTCCTTGAATGAAACTTCTATTTTCTTGACTGCCCTAATCGTGATTAGCATTTTAGCCTGTAATTCTTTCTGAATGCTTCATGAAATAATTTATTATGCATTTATGCCTATGAGAAATTATATATATATAAATATATATATATATAAAAATATAAATTAAAACGGACAAAGGAATTTTCCTGTTACACTTCAGTCACCTTCTTTCTGAGGTGCAGCGTGTGAAAATTCGGGAGTCCTTTTCTCCACACCTCTGGTGCTGTGTTCATACCATGCCTGGCTGTTCATACCATACCATACCTAGGCTGGCTGCGTTCTCAGTTTTATCACAAAAAGCTTCTGACACCTGACCTGGTGCCTCCTTCTCCCACAGGGCTATGTGGCTTTGGATGTTTATGACCCGTCAGAGTACGATCCACTCTTCCTAAGGACACGTACAGACTGCTGGAAGGTGCGATGGTTATTTTTGCTGTGAGGTTTAGAGGAACCCTTTGAGCAGCAGGGGGTTAATGGTTAGAGAGGAGGCAGAGCATCTTACTGATGTGCTACTATGGGGCTGGTGTAAAGCAACACATTCTAGTTTTAGCAACTGAACAAATGTGGGTCCCAGCTCCTACTACATTTAAGCCCAAGAGTGTTTGAAAATGTCTTTCACCAGGAACATGGTTTGGATCCATACTAATCCCAGGTTTGGAGGCACAGTAGGCAATGTTACTCGGGGAAGGTTTGCTTTCCTCATTACAAATTCCTTGTGGCAGCGTGGGAAGCTTCCTGTCTAATGAGGGTTGGTGGGTTCCCAGGCAAGCTGCCTGTGTGCTTTGTAGAAGGAAATAATCTGACAGTGCAGACGATCTTTACAGAAGCTAACCCAAATGCACCAAAGACTTGGGTACCTGCTGGAAAGGTTAGGACTCAGACACAAATCCATGAAGTGCAGTTCTCCAAGTCCCTTCTGGATGCTGTGAGCCCTCAGCAGCTCTGGGGGCTGAGCTGACACTTCATTCCAATGTGCCATGAAGGGTTCATCAAGATCGGCTGCCTCCAGGTTAGATCTTGTGTCTGGGGTCTAACTTTGCAGCAGAGTTGTTGAAGGTGTTGTGCGCTGCCAGAGGAGCTGAGATGCTCGGCGTTCTCAGGCCACTCGGGTCTGTGCCTCTTGTTTTTATTTATTAAAAATGAGGTTGCTGCTCCTTCCCTGCTAACCAATGGTACCTTGAAATTCACCTCTGACTTTGGTCTTTGAGACTCTCTGACGAACTGCTTGTGTTGGTACGTCAGCATGAAATAACTGTCTCTGTCACAGGTTTCAGTACCAGCTTCACAGGATCCTCTGTTGGAAGGCATTCAAAGAAAGTTTATTAAGACAGGCATTATCAAGCAGTGTGAGACAGGTATTTTAAACAATTGGTATCCCTTGGAAGTGTTTCACACTGGGGTAGGGAGGGGGCAGTTTTGCTTGTGACAGCACATGTTCACACAAGCATCTTGCCTTCCTTCCAGGAAGACCGTGGTCTATCAGAGAGCTGAATGAACTCAGTAAAGCAGAACTGCCACTGCTTCCTTTGAGCCGGCAATGTATGGATGCAGTCAAGTGGCTGAAGATACCACACGCCTACATTGCTAGTGAGGCCCACCAAACGAAGAGGTAAGAGCTAATGTGTTGTGCACTGAGTGGCTCCAAAATAGCTACAGTGGATGAGGCCTCTATTTGACTGCGTAGCAGAGTATTTGCTTAAATATCATGGTGAATTCAGCTTTATTGTGTATTTCTCTTGAGAAGGGAGTGTTGGTGAAGGGAAGGCTTTCAGATATGAAGTGGACAGCGGGATGTGTGAAAGCAGGGCACTGATGGTCAAGCTGAGCCTTAAAATAAAGTGGCTTTTGGTGGGGAGTTTCCCATGTTTTCTCCATACAGCCTGGTAGCCAGCCCTACAGGTCAAGCTATGGAATATCTCCTGGGTGCTTTACTGGAAGATCTGAAAGGATTTACTGTTCATACTTGCTTTGGGTGTTGGGATTTTTTTTTTTTTTGCTATTAGTTTCTAGATTTTGGAAGCAGAGTAAGGTCACACTTGTATCACAGACTGGTCAGAGATGGAAGGGACCTCTGGAAGTCATGTTGTCCAAATTCCCTGGTCAAGCAGGGTCACATGTTGCTAGCTGCTCTGAACCATGGCCAGATGGCTTTTGAATATCTTCAAAGATGGAAACTTGACCAGCTCCCTGGCCAGCCTGTGCCAATGCTCAGTCACCTTCACAGCAAAGAAGTTTTCCCTGATGTTCAGACAGCTCCTCCCGTGTGTCAGTTTGTGCCCATTGCCTCTGGTCCTGTCACTGGGGACCACTGAAAAGAGCCTGGCTCCATCCTCTTTGCATTCTCCCTTCAGGTTATTTGTACAGGTGTTGCTGAGATCCCCCTGAGCCTTCTCTTCTCCAGACTGAACAGTCCCAGCTCTCTTGGCCTTTCCTCGTGTTTGCTCAGTGTCCTTCGACCTTTGTGATATGGGGTGTGTCCTGGCTCAAGCCATGAGTGTAGTTCGTTACTTCCTGTAATGAAGCAGCCTGTGCTGAGGGTGCTACACACCACTCCAGAAAGTTGCATCCCATAGCTGACTTCCATAATGCATTTTTTTTTTGGTGTACAGGCTGTTTGGACACAAAATGCGGTAGAGCCCATGATGTCACCTGTCCTCCAGCTGACCGCAGCAGCAGACACGGCCGTCAGGATGTATCATGGCCAAAATATATGTTCCATCTTCTGCCAAAGCAAGTAGTAACAGGTCAGGTCTTCTGGCAAACTGCAATAAACCCATTGTCTTAAGCACTTGGGTCTGAAGTAACGTTCCCAGGCAGCCAAAGAAACGTTCGAGATGCTGCTCCTGTTATTTCCAGCTCTGCTTCATGCTCTACAGGTCCAAACCTACTATTTTAGCAGGTTTAACTTAGGCTCAGTTCTACAAAGACAGTGCTGATGTTTTCTGCTTTATAGGGTGATGAAGTCTTTGAATTAAAGATGATGAACTGGTGAGAAAAGTTAGGAAAAAAACCTCTGCTCAGCCCCTCTTCTACGCAGTGCAGAATCTATCTTCAGGTTATCTTCAGCTCTGAGTCTGCTGTATTTCCCATTACACGTGTGAATGTTAG